AGCAGCTGTGACTGTGAATTTGAACTTCGCTGTTTCGTGGCGAACCAACGATATCGGCTCTCAGTCTGTTCGGTGGCTCGTGCTGCTCAGTGGTGCTCATCGTGTGGTGTAGTGTTATCACCGTGTTCCGCTCATCATGCCTGACACAGACAAGGCCGCCAAAGCAGATGCTGAGGAAAAGACAACCTCGGGTCGGCAATCTCCTCTCACCCTCAATGTGCCTGGTCAACAGACCGCCCCCAAGGGGACAGCTTCTGGCAACACTCAAGGACGCAACTCACGTCAGACTTCTCCAGCTCGTCTCTCCACCGAGCTCACACTCAAGGTGAGATCTCAAATGAGTCGTTTCAATACTATAAAACTCATTGCAGACGAGAAGGTTGTTGACCCCGAGAGCACATCACTCGGGGAGGTCAACGCAGCGCTGTCTCAATTGGAGGAGCTACATAAGGCATTCTTGAAGGACCACGCGTATTTCGAGATAACATGGCCTGAGGCATATTTGGATCACGAGTATTTTGCGGACAACATCAATGAAAAGGAAGCTCATCTCGTGATCTCAGCTAAGCTACTGCTCAACAAGGTCAAACAGCGGCTCACACCATCTTCACCGCGTGCAGCCTCTCCTGATCCGGAAAAGCCAGTCCACTCACGTTTGCCAGACATTAAGTTGCCGAAGTTTAATGGTGATTACTCAACGTGGCCCACCTTTCGTGATCTTTTCTCCTCTGTAATCTTGCAGCACTCCAAGCTCAATGACGTGGAGAAACTTCATTATCTCAGAGGCTGTGTGCAGGGCTCAGCGGAACAGCTCATTCGAGGCTTGCTTCTCACTGGAGAATCTCTTCAGCCATCCTGGGAGCTGCTCACCTCGAGGTTTGATAATAAGAGACTCATCATACAGGCTCACCTTGACGGTCTCCTTAACCTCTCACATGCCTTATCCAAGAACGCCGCATCGCTCACCAAGCTAGTCTCAACGGTGTCCGAGATTGATAAGGCTCTGAGTTCGCTTGGCATGGCGGAGCACATGTGGAATTGCTTCTTGGTCCATCACGTGTCACGCTTCCTGGATAGAGACACCAGAGAGGCGTGGGAAACCTCGCTTGGATCATCTCAAGAGTATCCGCGCTTTGCGAAATTTGAAACCTTCCTCAATGCCAGGGCTAGAGCATTGAAGAGAGTGGAGGCTGCACCACCTTCCTCGGGCCACTCATCGAAAGTCACACCCAGCTCATCTAAATCTGCTAACAAAAAGGCGACTGCTCACCAAGTATCTGCTCCCACACATTCTCAGTCATTCTCTGCTGCGGCTCACCCGTGCGACATATGCAATGGACAGCACTTCATTGTAACGTGCTCCAAGTTCAGGGATCTCACGCCAGCACAACGGAAGACCACCGCAATCGACAAGAGGCTGTGCTTCAATTGTCTGGGGCGCCACAATGTCCGCTCATGCAGATCCGCGCTGAGCTGCAAGACATGCTCAGCCAAACATCATACGATGCTGCATGTGGAACAGTCTGCTGCTGCATTGACTCCTGCTCAACCTGCCTCATCACCAGCTCACTAGGAATCAGGTGCAATCGTCAAGGAATCAATTCAAGCTCACGCTCATTATTCAACGCTACTTGCAACTGCAATGGCATGCACACAATCAACGGTCTCAACACATCAAGCAAGGCTACTCATCGATCAAGGATCTGAGCTCACATTCATCACGGAGGATCTCGTCAGACAACTCAACGTACAACGTCGACACGCAACTGTCTCAATCATTGGCATTGGAGCCAGGAAAACGACTAGGACCAAGGGCGTGGTGACGCTCACGCTTCACTCCTATCATTCTAAGCATACTGCCATTATTCAAGCCCACGTCCTCAAAACACTAACGACCATTCTACCATCTTTTACAGCACCTCAACAAACGTGGCCACACATAGAACCTCTGACATTGGCAGACCCATAGTTCCTCACGCCACGCTCAATCGACATCATCATTGGAGCTGATGCATACGGGCAGATTATCAAGCCTAACATCATTAAACGATCTCCTGACATGCCCATCGCTCAACTCTCAATATTTGGTTGGCTAGTGCTTGGTCCAGTCAGCTTGTCACCATTACAAATGTCGACTGCGCATCACATCAAGGTTAACCAGTACGATCTCGATCTTCAAGAATTGCTGACAAGGTTCTGGGTGCAAGAAGAGCTACCAACTGATGCAGCAGACCAGCTTACCTTGGAAGAACAACAATGTGAAGATCATTACAAGGCCACACACTCTAGAGATCCAACGGGACGATACATTGTACGCATCCCGCTCAAGCTTCCAACCAGTTTCTTAGGGAATTCACACAATACTGCTCATCATTGTCTCCAGCGCATTCTCAGACGACTCAACAAGGACAAGGAATATCAGAGCCTCTACACCAAATTCATAAGCGAGTATGAACAACTCAAGCACATGGTGAAAGTTGGATCACAACCATCATCCGATGTTCCCCCATATTACTTGCCTCACCATGGTGTGCTCAAACCCGACAGTACAACAACAAAACTGCGGGTTGTCTTTAATGGCTCAAGTCCAACCTCATCAGGATTATCTGTAAACGATCTCATGCACACTGGTGCAAATCTATTGCTCAATGTTTCAGACGTTCTCTTGTGGATTCGTAGTTACAGGTACATCTTTGCCACAGACATAACAAAGATGTATCGACAAATCAAGGTACACCACTCAGACTGGGATCTGCAGCGCATTCTGTGGATCGACGAGCATCACAATGAAACATCATATCATCTCACCACGGTCACTTATGGAACGAAGGCTGCTCCATTTCTCGCAGTAAGGACACTCATGCAACTGGCCGAAGATGAAGGCCATCGATTTCCACTGGCAGTGCCATCAATCACTCGTGGGAGGTACGTGGATGATATTTTTGGTGGTGGTGACACAGGAGAACAGCTCATAGAAATTGCCCATCAATTAGAAGATCTCTGCCAGGCGGGCGGATTCCCTCTTGCCAAATGGCACTCCAATCATCCAGAATTGTTAAACGCCATCTCATTGACAGTCTCGATCAACTCACCAGTCTCACTTGACGATTGCGCAACCAAAATCCTCGGATTAAAGTGGCTGCCTCAAGAAGATGTTTTCACATTCTCAACAAGCTCAATTTCTCACCAAGAACAGCTCACCAAGCGACGTGTACTATCTGAAGTGGCACAGATATTTGATCCACTTGGTTTTGTCTCACCAATCGTAATAAGAGCCAAGATGCTTCTTCAAGAACTCTGGCTCCACAAGATCAACTGGGATGAACCGTTACCATCTCAAGTTGTCTCAAGGTGGCTCAACATCAGAAAAGATCTCACAAGCCTGGCCAGGCTCTCAATTCCACGCTGGTTCAACACAAGCAGTGACTCAACGGTTGAACTACATGGCTTTTCTGATGCATCTCAATTTGCCATGGCTGCAGTCGTATACATGGTCGTGCACACGCCGTCCAAGGGCGCCAAAACTTCTCTCATATGCTCAAGAACAAAGGTAACTCCATTGAAGAGGCTCACTATCCCAAGGCTAGAACTCACAGCAGCGCTGCTTCTTTCAAAATTGGTGAAATATGTCCATGCCACACTCAAAATGGACATCGAGGAAACATATTTATGGACGGACTCTCAAGTGACGCTCACATGGATCAAAACACACTCATCTCGATGGAAGGATTATGTGCGCAATAGGGTATCACAAATCCAAGAACTCACGACACATGCTCATTGGAAATTTGTTCCAGGTACAATCAATCCGGTTGACTGTGCATCTCGTGGTGTAACAACAGCTCAACTTGAAGATCATACCTTGTGGTGGGCAGGACCACCATGGTTGGCTCAACCGAAAGATCGCTGGCCCGCTCAGCCAACGTGCTCGGACGAGCAGTGTACAACAGAATCGCGCCTAGGAGTGTCACTCTTCACAACTAACATGAAGGTGGATTACGACTGGGATCTCATCTACAAGTATTCATCGCTCAATCGACTGCTCAGAATCACAGCTCTCTGTCAGGTATTTATTCGACGAATGAGAAATCGACAAGATAGCCCTCAAGCCTCACACATCTCAGTCGCTGACTTAGAGCAAGCTAAGGTCTTCTGGATCAAGGTTACACAATCAACATTTTTTGCACATGAGCTGAAGATGCTCAGCTCACAATCACGTCTAGCAACTTCTCATCCATTCAGTCGTCTCACAGCATTTATTGATCATCAAGGAGTTGCTCGTGTGGGAGGACGACTCAAGAATTCCACCCTCAATTATGAAGGCAAACACCCTGCAATACTCCCTCGCCATTCGAGATTGTCTGAATTAATCATCAGCTGGTCCCACCAACGGACACTACATGGAGGAACGCAACTCACCTTGGCGCATATCAGGCAATCATATTGGATCATCGGTGGACGTGCTCCAGTAAAATCTCATATCTTGCGGTGTGTGGTGTGTGCTCGACAAAGGGGGATTCGTGCCCATCAACTGATGGGCCAACTACCTCTGCCTCGGGTCACACCCTCACGCGCATTCACGCATACTGGCATTGATTATGCTGGACCGCTCACACTCAAAACATGGAAGGGAAGAGGAGCCAAAACGCATAAAGGATGGATTTGTGTGTTTGTCTGTCTCACCACATCTGCAGTTCATTTAGAAGTTGTTTCAGACTACTCAACGGACGGATTCATCTCAACGTACAGAAGATTTGTCTCAAGAAGAGGCATCCCTCATTCATTGTACTCTGACTGTGGCACAAACTTTGTCGGAGCAGAGAAATCACTCCAAACATTGTTCACAGAGAGTTCTCAAGATAACCGGCGCATCTCATCTCTGCTTGCTCAAGATCGCACTCAATGGATTTTTAATCCACCAGCTGCTCCACACATGGGTGGCAAATGGGAAGCAGTGGTAAAATCACTCAAACACCACTTGCGTCGTACCATAGGAGAGACGTTGCTCACATTCGAAGAGACGACAACCCTGCTTGCTCAGATTGAAGCGATCTTGAACTCACGACCTCTCGAACCACTCAGCGACGACTCAGATGACATCTCAGCGCTCACCCCAGGACATTTTCTCATCGGAAGTGCGCTCACATCAGTACCGGAGCCGTCACTGAAGGACTTAGCCACCTCAAGGTTATCCCGATGGCAATTCATACAACAGCGAGTACAGCAATTTTGGTCTCAATGGTCAGCTCAATATCTGCAACGACAACAAGCAATCTCGAAGTGGCATCACCCATCCAACGACATACAAGTGGGCTCATTGGTTCTCATCACCGACGAGAGGCTCCCGCCATGTAAGTGGCCATTAGCCAGAGTCTCCACCCTGATGACAGCCAAGGATGGACTCACCCGCGTGGTGACCCTGAAGACACCCACAACGACGCTCACCCGACCAATCACCAAGCTGGCACCGCTGCCCATTGCTCATCAAGGCCAAGCTCAACATCCGTAGGAGTGGACTCATCATCAACCTCATTGCTGATGGCGGGCGGAAATGTTTGAGATTCCTCCAGTTATCTCAATTGTACTGCCCTCGCCATCTCACGGTTATTCGCGAGGCCCAGTGGTACCGCACGCGCGACCGCGCGACCGGGTAACGAGCACGTATCGGGCCCGTGAACATGGCTCGAGGGCTTGCGCGCAAGCTCAGAGAGTTCAGTAGTCGTGTGAAGGCAGCCGTTGTAAGCTGTGGTAAAAGTTCGCATCGACATACGAAAAGTATCGCGCTCGCGCTCACGGGAATAAGTGCGATCTCAGTGCTTGTTCGCTCACATTGACAATTAGTGCTCACCCCTGGACAGACTCAAAGTTAAGTGCTCAAGTCGAGTGCATCGGTGTTCTGCGCAAAGGCCTCTCATTTTGTACGTGCACGCTCGCTTGTAGCCGGCCACCGGCTCAACGGGCGGCACATCCCCGACGGTCTTGTGCGAACAAGAGAGCTCGACGGACTCGCTCACCTCAATCATACGCCTCAGTAATTCTCAACTGTACATAGTGTAAATACAATTAAACGTTCAACTCATTTTAAAGAAACGGAATCGTAGTCATTCTCGCCACGTTGCACGTCCTTTCTCACCCCCCGATCCACTCGCAGCGCTCACGGAGATTTCGCGATCTTTCGATCTCATGACGAGATTCGAGAGGGAGGAAATTTCCCAAACAAATAAGAATACATTTTTAATACAAAAATAAAAACTACATAAGTTTTTTATATTCGCCTGTAAACCTACAAATTGGACATTGTACTTTCATTTCATCGTTTGTTTCATTTATTATACGTGATGCACATTTGCAACAAAAAATGTGCCCACAATCTCCTGCACCAAAGTTCTCTATAATTATAGCTTTCGTACATATAGGGCATTCCAAGGGTTCGCTGTTATCCAACTTTATATGTCGCCGCTTACATTTAGTGCGGTTGCAAACGCTAGTTTTGAAGTCACCGCATATGTTCGTGTTTTGTAGCGTTCTTGCGACCTCTCTTCTGAGATGCTCCGTTGGCTTCCCCGTTGTTCCATATTGAAGCTGTTCCACGCTAGTGCAGTGCAGAAATTGACATTTTTCGTTACGACACGTAGTATCCCAATCAGCACCCATTATTTTTTAAACATTTATTAAATATTTTATTTTCATTAATTTTATATTGTTCAATTGATTTTAATAAAAATATTAATTAAATGTTTATTAAATATTTGATTTTCATTAAATATTAATTTAAAATTGTAATTTAACAAAAAAACTTTTAAATTTTTATTTGTCATTTATTTAAAATTTATTAAATATTTATTTTACATTAAAAATATATATTTAAAAAGTATGTATTTTAAAAAATATATACTTAAAAATAATATTTTTGCAATCTTTATTGATTATGTATTTAGTATTTGTACATGATTTGCTCACAATTATTAATTATTTGTTTGCAACAATATTGTAAACAACATTTATTTAACATTTATTAAACGTTTATTTTATATTAATTATTTATTTAAAAGCAAGTTAGAAAACATATGTTTGTAATGTTACTTATCTATTATTGTAATATTTGTACATTCGTTTGTGAAAATGTTATAAGCAATATTTATTTAATATTCATTAAACATTTATTTTACATTAAATATTTATACTAAAAAGTAATTCAAAAAATTTTTTAACCTTTATTTATGATATGTTTAATATAATTTGTACATTTGCATTATTTATTTATTATATTTGTAATAATGTTGTAAAAAGATTTTTTGTTAGTTTGTGACCGTTCGATTCTGTGAATTTGGGCAACGGATAGCCGCGGGAATTCTAGGGTCCGGCGGTGGGTGTTTCGAAAAGAGAGAGAGTCAGGTTCTGACTTAAATACTAAAATATATTTACAACTTAATACTACATCTATACTTATTACTAACTTACAACTATTCTTAGATTTCTAATGCCGTTCTGACGGCGGTTCGACTGTGTGATCTGGCGCATTAGCGCTTCGGATAATAATTACTGTTTCGCGGTGACGCGGGACGGTTCGCCGGATTAATTGATACGGTCGACGGCGGTGCGGTAATATCTTTCGGTAATCGGTACGGTGTGTTCTCGCGCGGTCCGGTTCGTTCGGAGCC